GGTCTGGATGTTCCACGAGTCTACTGATGGCCTTGATCCCGAGGTCGAACTTTTCCTCAGCAGGCAAGTGACGACTTGTCATGATACATGCGCCGATAGTGGCTTCGCAGACATCAGCTATGGTCTTTTTTCCCAGCGCATGCTTGCGGTGCCTGTCATTCAGTTTGATGATTCGACCTTTCTCGAGCTCCAAGAATTCAGGGTACCAAGTGTCACGCCAACGCTCATCTGCAGAGCGGATGTAGCGAAAAAGTTCGTAGTGCGGAGAAGATGCAGTGTCATAAAGCCGTTGGTTGGAGAGCAAGTCCATACGTTTACAATGCATTCCTTCTTCGTCACATGTGGTGCGGTTGAAGACTGTGATCGTGGTCATCATCTTGAGGAAGGCGTCACCGATGAATTCCAGTCGTTCATAGTTCATGGCCGCTCCCAATTCCTTCCCGTCGAGCTGTGCTCCAACTTCAGCCTCGTTCAGAGTTGGTAACCCGGTTTCATTCCTGTCACTCAGGGAACCATCCTCCTGAGTGAAAGCTTCCAATGCAAGTTCGAGAGGCACCTGGCCAAGGTCAAGCTTCGCAAGAGCCTCCTGGGCGATCAAATATCCCTCCAGTCGATGCAGGATTGAGGGCCACAGGAGACAAGCTTGGGCCACCGAGAACGAGACTCGGCCCAATTCGAGCGGTTGAGGAGCGACATGGCATATGGCTTGCCGCGTTACACCTTTCCGGGATTTCTCCAAGAAATTGCGACCTGCTATGGCAACCTTAGCGACCAACACGGGCTGATTTGGATCGTACGTCCTGCCGGTTGATTGGCCATCTTTTCTCTTTCCTTTCCATGTGCTGTCGGAGAATTCGATGATGCTGCTCTTTAATCTCTTCTGGACCGATTTTGCACTTTCCGGAATGGGATCCCAGATAGATTTTCCTGGCAAGATGTTCCCTGTGAAATAGCGGTATCGTCCGCTTCTTGGGTCAACGAGAAATGCATTGCACCATCTCTTGGTCTGCTTCTCTGCCTCTGCCGCGCTGATGGTCTTTCCCCAGCGCTGACGGCCTTCGACTTGCCCCGCTAAAAGCCCGTCCATGTCAACAACAGACTCAAAAGTCTCCTTCAACTCTCCTTTCGCTGGAGGTGCTAGCCAGTAGCTCATTGAAGTCGATTTCTCGGCGTAGACTTTGTTGAAAACGTCGTGGAACACACCGCGAAGAGTGAATTTCGTCAGTGCTTCGATCTGAGGCGGCGTCACTGCCACCGGGTCTCTGAGACGATTGAACTGGACCTGTTTCTCGATATCATCGTCTACAAAGACAGGAAATGTGGGAATGTCTGGAAGTGGAGTGCGTGTTAGCAGCAGCAAGCCATCGGTGCACCAGGAGGGTGATTTTGGCCCAACGGAGACATGGGTAACAAAAAGTGCGGTTGGCAGCGTCGGCGAGGTGGCACCACTCTCAATCCAGAAATCCGGTTTTACCTTCCTGTCGTATTCGTGCTTGTCGTGGGGGACGGCGGTTTTGGCATTGAAATTGGCTGGTTTCGCTTTGAAGAAGATGCTGTTGAGATATTCATCCACCAGTTGGGCTTTGCGCAACCTGAAAAGGCAATGCCAGGCAGCGGACCGCTTCGCGAGGGTTTTGTTTGTTCGCGCCTCACCCTTGGCGCCCTTGACGGCAGCGGTTCGCTCATCAGCCGTGGCAGGCAATATAACTTTATACCGAAACATGTTTTCTTCGACGTCGATCATCTCCTCGTAGACCTCTGAAGAGACCGCACCCACCTTTCTCAGAGACTCGGCATACCGACTGAGGAGTAGGAGCGAATTCGAGTAGTTGACAAGGACGCCAGCAGAGGTTTCGAAGCTGCGACAACTTGCATCGTTGGCCATCATCTGCTTCAGTTTCGAGCCCTGACCCAATAGGCGATCGGGTGGAAGCTGTTGACAGAACCTCCTTATATAATCATCTTGATCCAGGGCAAAATTGACCTCTGCTTCCTGGGACTGATTGCCCTTTTCGACCATGTGAACAAAAATAGAGCCCTTCATCCGTGCCCGGCCACGGCTCTGCATGTACTGAATTGGTGTTCTATACAAATCAAACCTGATCACCAAGTTGCATTGAGGTATGTCAATGCCTTCTTCCGCGACACTGGTGGCAAAGATGATGTTGATGATTCCTGTGCGGAACTTCTCCATGACAGCCTCTTGGTCTTTCCACGAACCCCTCATATTCGACTCTGGTGTGACACCCATGAGGACGCCGGGTCGTAGGTTCGGGAGAGCAAGTGATTCGAACAGGCTGCAAAGCAGAATCGCCGTCATCCGTTCCTCAACAAATACGATTGACCGAGTCGTAGCTTCACGGGCGAACCGATCCTTGAGTTCGCCATAAAGCTTCCTCACTTTGGGAGATAGATCACAACCCGAATCGACCTGTGGAGCCTTGAAGCGATGGTTTCGTATGATCGAGACGGCGGCGCCGATTGATTTCAAAGCTGCCACACGGCTCTCGGTGTCAGGCATCACCCTATAAGTCTGGGTTCGTTCAAACTTGCGAAGCATGACGGTGGATTCGTGCTCAGAGGTCGGAATAGCGTGTTGCCAGACTCTATCTGCAGCCCACGCGCCAAGTTTCCGGGAAGCCGTGTACGCGAAACGGAATGCCGGCTGCAAGTCCTCAACAAAGCCGCATAAGGGCACGAGTTGTGAGTATAGGGGAGTTTCAAATTCAGCCTCTAGTGGAGGGTACATCCATATGACATCCTCGGCTCGAGGCGCAAAGTCAAAGACGGACAGGTTATTCGTGGTCACGATCTTGCTCTGCAATAACGACTGTAAGTCCTCAGCAACTTTATCGATGTCCCGCCTCGAGTCGACAGGAGATGCCGTCATGCCGAAGATACGAGGTCTGTCCCCTTTCCACTTAACATAGTAATCTCGAATGATTTTCGAGTACGGGTGGTTCTTCTTGCAGTGGTGGGCTTCGTCGAAGATCAGCAGTGAGATCTGACCTATTTGCAGGTTGGACCTCATGAGGCACGAGTCTAGCACCGAAGCTGTGCACACGACAACACTGTTTTCAGCAAAGATTTTGTCCCATTCAACCCGTTCCCACAGGTTGTCCGAGGCCTCGCCGAACAGGGGGATGACGTTCTGTGACAGGTTGATGGAGAGGAACCGGGCCTGTTGTCGAGCAAGGTGGACGCTGTTGACAAGGAAGAAGACGATCTTTGCTGATTTGCCGTGACTTCGATCGATCAGTTCTTGTTGCAGGTAATGTCTGATCAGCAACGCCGCAATGAGGGTTTTGCCACTCCCAGTGTCGAGGACAGCGATTACGTTCTCTTCCTTTGCCCTTTCAAACAGTTCTTGTTGATATTCACGGGCTCGGTCGATAATCGCGTCAGACTGTTCGCTCTTCTCATGGCTGGAGGTCAGGGTCTGGTCGTCGTTGTTGGCGTGAGCGAGGAGATAGTTGTTGAGAGTTACCATGTTGTCCTCTCGCTCGGCATAGCCATCTAGATCGGTCGACTCAGGGTGGAATTCGTCCTCGGAGTCTGTGAGGTCGGCTGGCTGAGACTGATCCAGATGATGTGTAGAGCTGTGGACCTCCACGACAGCGAGTTCATCGGTCTGCGCCATCCTGTCGAGCGTGAAAGGAGGTTTGAGGATGCAAGAGTTAAGGAGGAAATATGGCCCGAATCGATCTCCCCATGATAGATGAGAAGATGAAAAGTGAATTTTTCCAGGGAGTGCAGGAAGAAAGACACGGTGACAGAGAGTTGGGGATGAAGGGCAACGCGCAGGCAAGCAAACGAATTCACTACATGACTGAAAAATCGGGATGGGTTTGTCTACCCGATGCCATCCTACCTCAATACATCAAATCTATCGTTGTTGTAGCAGTCACACTCCCCCTCTAACATGCACTATATGGAAGGAAGGAAGGGGAAGCGCCCATCTAGATAAAGTCCTCTGGCCCCTTAGTTACTGAGATGCCTCGTCTGTGCCAGGGATCATCCTAGTGCCTTTGAGCCGCACATTTCCGTCTGTTCCGTCTGTCTTTTCTTGCAATTTTCTGCCCCCGGGGGGGGGGGGGGGGGGGACCAAACCAACACCCTCCAGACGCACTCCCTCCAAATCCACTCCGTTCTAACGCACTCCACTCCACCTTAGCCAGGGGCCCCTCCTCAATTCCAACCACGCTCACTAGATTCAGACGAACTTCACAGCTGCAATGGGGGCTATCGTGGCCGCGTTCATTGCGGTTCTCGCTCTGGCCAGTGCTCATGGCTCTCATTCGCAAGAGGAGCTCGCCAATCCTGCGGAAGATTGGGCATTGTACCATATGCAAGAAGAACACCGTACGTGTTATCAATCGCTGGTCGAGTGGACATGGGTTTTTGACAGACACGTACAGATATCTCCAACTTTGATCCGGCCTCATTCTTTGCACTCCATGACTTCAACAACGATGGCGCGTGGACACCCGACGAAGTGCGCCGAACATATGGCCTGGACGACGAGTCTTTGATAGCCACGCCCGCCGACGCCAAAGACAGAGCCGTTCTCGACGTCTTCAAACTCTTTGACCCTCATAGCACCGGCCTTATTACCCGTGACCAGTGGCTCGAGGGCATACGATCCGGCAAGAAACTCCCAGACTCTGGACTAGGCCCAGGCCATCACGGCGACGACGAATACGAGTATGAGATCCACCACTTCGAGAAATACCATGACGAGAACACGAGAGAGGAGGATCTGATCCACCCCGAAGATATAGAGCATTTCAAAAAACACGACATGAGGGAAGATGAGGAATATCGGATACTGAGAGAACAACAACAGAGCATTGTGGAGAGGAACATCCCGCTCAAATTTAGGAGACAGCCCTGAACTTTTGCGCAGGCGTTCCTGGCTGGCTACGTGGCAGCTACGTGGCATGGAAATATCTGTAACAATACGCACAAAATAGAACTGAGGTAGACGGGAAAAAAGAGGTTCAGCCATTGGGTTTGATCTCGACATCGAATACACAATGCATGACCCCGGGCGCATATGTCTTGACTTGTTCAACGTGGACGCCAGAAGTTGCGCAAGGCCGTCGGGCTTCTCGCTGTACCAGTCCATCAATTTCTCTCACAATTCTTTCCCCTATGATGTCGATTTCCCGCATATCGACGTTCTCATGGACATGCAGCCATCCACCTGTTCCATCTTCACTCAGGCCTGTGACGATCTTGACAGCATCCTCCCACCTCGATCGCGCCGAAGGAAGGAGACCTAGATTGGCATGTCTGATGTTGAGCCGTGACGCTGTTCCCTCTCGGTTGTAGCCCATCCTTTCATACTCACATTGCATCTCCTGCAAGATCTTCCGTGCCCACTTGTTGTCTCCTAGGAAGGCTACGCATCTGACGATTGTGTCGGCCCCGCCTGAGCGATCACCCCTGGCAATCTCCTCGACAATACCCTTGATGCCTCCCGGCCCTTGCAGACTCCCTGTCTCATCAACCTGGAGTACCAAGCACCGCCATCCGTTTCTCTCGCATCCCCTCCTCAACCCCTCGATGCTCCACGGATTGATGTCCCAGCCATAGACCCGTCGCACGCCCTTTGACAGGTAGCAAGAGGCAAAGTATCCGATGCCGACGTAGAAATCGACCACATCGACGAGGCCGAGCTGCCCGTGCAGTTCAGCAGTTGTCAGGCCGGGAAACCGGGAGTGCAGGCCCAGAATCCGCGCCTTCTCGGAGATGTTCCCGCGGCTGAACATGGTGTACAACGGTGCCCAGCACTGCACGATGCCGTGGTGCTGGGTCGCGCTCGTCCAGAAAGCGGCGTCAAAGTCCTCGGCCGAAGGGTGAAGGATTCTGCCTCGGTGCTGTCGCTCGTCGAGCACGGGTCCCCAGCGACCGTAAACCGGGACCAGGCCTGAGGGATGGCGAAGGACATTCTGTCCCTTGGTGGTAGCGCTCTGCGTCGTGACGGGACCGCGGAAGTTGGTGGCGTCTTCGACGTCCTCTTCATGCTCGACCTCGGCCGCGATGGGCGCATTGATTGCGATCCGCGAGATCCCCATTCCCTTGAACCCTTTCTCGGCGATACATCGAAACAGCTCCGCCTTGTCGTGCTCGTCAAGCGCGTCGTAGAATGCCGTCCACCGCGGATTCTGCGCCGTGAAGTTTGGTGGGAGGAGCAGGAGCGGCGGGTAGAGTGTATACCGCTTCGGCATGTCTGCGATAGCTAATGCTGCGAGCGGCGGGTCATCTCCTTCACCATGGCGAGGAGCTGGAACGAAAGTCGCGTTGTCGTCTGTGGCAGTCGCAGGATCAATGCGACAACGACGACCTTGCCATTCTGTGTAGAACGCTGAAATACCCCGGACCAGTGGATTGTTCGGGGTCTTCTTGTCTTTCCTCTGCTTGGGTTTACCCTCTTGTTGCGACGGGTGATGTTGGTGCTGGTGCTGTGGTCGAGGGCTTGTCATTTCTGCCATTGGCAAACCTTCCGAAAGGGCTAATATCTTTCTCACGGTGAGGTCGTGGTGCCAATCAATGGCCCAATCTCACGCCTCGAGCCGGAGGCTAAGATCCCAATCGAGTTAATTGTCTGTACACAACACATGTAGCCTCATAGGTTCATGGAATCAAAAATTATGACGGCGGGCCCGTACAGAGCAAGGACCCAGGAAAGTTTGCAGGAGATCGACGAGAGGATGTTGTCCATTTATTAAGATGTTTGAGAAAGACTGTAGCAAATCCATTCAAGTTGCGAGGCCGGGCGTCTGATTGGATGACTGACCAGCCCAGACAGCCATCTATGTAACTACTCGGGCGAGATGCCAACGAACAAATACAACCATAAACACCTACAGGTAATTTCAACGAAGCTCGACATATGTACATGTTTCTATCTCTAGGAGCACATATCTTTCCACAACCTAGCTTACTGCTACAGCTGCCTAAGTCATAGATAGCATGATATGCCTCCAGCAACCCCAGTGCCATCACCATCAACACCACGCACACACCAGTACAACTGCTTCTACGATGTACTCTTTCCCAGACGGACGCCAGAACCCAGAACCCAGAATCTTCCCAGTGAAATCCGAGACGCCGTATTTCCAGCTCAGTAGGTCCCGACGGACTCGTATCCTCCCCCTTCCCAGAACCACTTGGGATATCCGTGTTATGCCATTCCCACCTCTCGACCGAGTGGATGGATGATTCTCAACTTCTCCGTGGAACAAATGACCAAGATAAGAAAGAGGCACTCAACGTGGTGAAGCTTTGTGAAGACGGTCGGTTTGACTGATGACAGGTTGACTCTCAATTCGCCCTGTTCTCTTTGCTTGTGCATCAGGTCGAATACAGGTGCCAAACTGATAACCCGCCGTACCCCGGTTGTGGGCTGTAGGCTGTAGGCTGTAGGCTGCAAAAGGATTTTGTATAACGACACTTTGCTAAATCAAGTTGGTATCTGCGATGTTATAGTATCCCAAAGATCGCATCCAAGAAAAATCATGACGCCCTTCATTAAATGCTTTCTCAAACTCCTTGCAAATGAGTTCGGGGCCTTTCCAACGTGGTGAGTTTTCCAGATATTCTCATCCTGCCGTGACACCGACCTCCTTGGCTTGATTGATCATCATGTTCAATATGTCCTTCTCTTCTGGTGAAAAATCTCGTTTTAGATCTGCGTCCGTGGTCAGACAGCACATATTGCTTTCCTCGAGTTGCCAAGCGCCCGGCTCTCGGATATCCCTGGGTTCAATCAGGTAGTGTTCGAATTTGCCAAACTTCTTCTGTTTCTTGTCGGCGAACTTGTTGTCCAGAAGCCAGCCGTTAAACCAAAGTGGTTTGCCATTCAAGTCCAAATGAAGAAGCTGCGGAGAGCAGATAGTGTAGTTCGAGGGCTCCGGTCGTTCCTCGGGTTCGTGCTCTTCGGGCTCTTCAGCGACCTCGTATTCTTCCGTCATCTCTTGCCCATTCTCGTCCAATTTGGGCTGACCATTTTCGTCCATGACCGGCCTCTTCTTTTTCACCATTCTCGGTTTCCTTTCTTCCTCTTTCGGGTCCTGAACGACGCCCATTGTGCCAGCGTCACCTTGATGGAAGGCATAGTCTTGATCTCCCACAAGCTCCCAACCAAGCCAGAAGGTCTCTTTGTCACCTGCAGAGTTCGTTAGTAAGGGTTACCAGAACAGAATATTAGACAAAGCCTACCGTAGACCATGTCGTAAATGCCGACTCTGCCTTCGTCTTTATTGCCGTCTCGATCAGGTCCATTCATTCTCGTTACCAGGAGAAGAGCGATAAAGTGGCGCCATTTGTCTACCACAATCACACCCGATTCCTGCATGTGACCGCTATCGCCCGTCCAAAACCGGCTCTGCTTCACCTGTCTCGAGATCGGTTTGGGCAAAATCTGCTGCAACCACCGCTTCTTCGATTCAGGCATAATTAGACGATCCCTGAAGAAAAGGGCACCAGCTTTCTGGTACGCAGGATCCTCGAACAAGATTTCCGGGTTGACGAAAAACAGACTGTCAGCATCAATAAAGATGACTTCGCGGAAGCTAGAATATAGGATTGCAAATGGCTTTGCAGCCCAACCCGCCAATTTCCAGCCTTCATCGTTGACCATCTGGGCAATGTCCCGAGTAAGCACGCCATCCAGGCTTTCCAGGTCAGAACGGTAGTCCTCAGAGAGATCCGAGTCACCCAAGTACATGATCTCGATCGGCAGTGTGCACCCCAGTTTTCGAAAGGTGGGGATGATCGTGAGCAGGAAAGGAGCCTGATCATCGCCTGCTGTCAGGACGATACCCCTACCCCCCTTTTTAAAATGGGAGTGGAGGGTCATATGATCAGGGAAGTAAGGCGCTGTCCACGGGAAGAGGAGTTGGCCGAACTTGACCAAAAAGTATCGGTACGCCTCGTAGGAGTGGATGGTCTGAGCTAGAGAGGACTCGCCAATGTCGTCGGCCGAGGGCTGGTGCTGATGGTGTCGCAGATATTGGATAACGTCGTCTCGCACATAGCTGCCACCTTCCTCATCGAACGTGAGGTGAAGCTCTTCCCAAGCCTCAAAGAACTTTTTATATTCGCGAACCCGCAGACCCATTTCTCGTAGTTTCTCCTTCCCAGTACCTTCAACAGCGCGTAGCAAGTCTCTGCCCTCCATCTCACCCGGAAGAAGACTGATGACTCGTGCGAGAGCCTTCTCGAATTTCGGGCGTTCTGAGAATGTGCTCCAGTGAGTAGATGGGTTGGTTGAACCTGAATGGCCGGATCCTTTCGGAGAATATGATTTTGGTTGTGCAGCCACATCATCCTGTTTCGAGAGAACAGGCCCTTCATCCGCGGATTCTGGCTGCAGTCGGGTCTTCGGGTTTTGCACTGGGGCCTCAACCGGAGGAGCCTCAAACCTCATCTCAGGATTTGATTTCGGATCTGTAGGGTCGTGCACAATCACATTGTCTGACGACTGCCCTTGATTGGAGGCCCCGTTTGGAGATGCTCGGAATACGGGATCATGATCTGATGATAGTTCCTTCGATCTATCGGGAGGCGATACGATTTGCGGCTGAATCGTCGAACTTGTGCCTCCAGAGGTGAGAAGATATATTAGGGGAATGCATAGGAGTACTATAATAATAACAAGACCCTGCCGTGATCGTAGACTCCGTCGTGTTGGACCAGCATATGGTAGGCCTGGAAAAGAACGCCCTTCCTTCAAGGGCGCATGCCTTGGAGTAAACATGCCTCCAGGAGATCGCATCGGGAGGGGTTTGTTGTGTTGTAGACTGTTTGAAAAATACCCAATACCCAGGATAGATGTTCAAGCCAGATGTCAACTAAGTCGATATTCCCAAAATAACAAGAAACAATGTCGTCGGTGGCGAAACACGCGTTCCAGACGCGACAAAGGGGCAGCCTTTTACCCCTTTACGCCTTCAGGGCAGACAGCCAATAGAAATAATGGGACTAGTCTATGGAATGAGATTAAAAGATTGCGCAAAGATGATCATGATGGGGACAAATTGTAGGATGCAGAGAGATGCAAAGACGGAATTCGTTGAAATGAATACGAATAATGGACAAGGGGCGTCGAGAATCGTTGGCAAAGAAAAACTTGGTCACGAAGCTGAATATCCCTTGCCTCCCCGTGTTTCCATATTAGGACTAGCGCATCTCGGTTGTCGCTTCCCCTTTCGGCTCCACTTGTTTCACTTTTTGAGGCTGCGCCATTTGCGCCATTTCCCCCTTTTTTCCTCCTTCGCATCTCTTCAAAGTTCTTCAATAATTCCCTGACGGGCAAATGAGGTAGGAGGTGGGTGTATAGGGGATGCTAGATGTACACCGCAAGACCAAACGCCCATCTCGTAATCACGGCGCCTCGAATGCACATTCCTTCCGTCGATGACCTGCATGAGATCCCCGCCATTGGGAGATCTGCGGCTAACCCTATACCAAGTACGCCGCTGCGAAGAGCCGCAGGCACTTTGCTATAAATAGCGGCCTCAATCAAATCGATTTGATTGGAAAGTACCTCCAACAGATCAGGCCATTCTCTGTTTCGGGAGCTTGGGAATCAGCAACCACACAGCCAGGCATAATACCAAGGCAGCCAGAATGATGGGCTGTAGCACCTTGACTCCTTTGGCATTCGCAATCGCTCCAACAGCGAACGGCAAGACACATGCACCACTCGCTCCGAAAGCAGCGGCAAACCCCACAGCGGGTACGTGCAGCTTCTTCGGGAGCAATTTGGTAAGCGCCACAATGGCTGCGGGGAAGAGAGGTCCTAGGAAAAAGCCCAGCAAGCCAACCATGACCGCACTGACGACGAAGTTCGGAATGAGCCAGAACATCAACTGGAGGGCCACGCTGCACAACAAGTACACGGCGACCGCGTGCTTCTCCGATCTGAACAACCGAGCGGTAACGAAACCGAGTACCAATCGACCGACGGCGATCCCGAGCCAGAAGCCCATCGATGTGAGCCCAGAGGCAAACGGCGAGCCTTTCCTGACACGCCACATAAAGGTCACGATCCAACCGCCAACACTGACTTCGACACCCACATATATAAGCAGAAACACCGAGGCAATCAAGGTTACTCTTTGCTTGACCGCCTCCAGAGTCTTGCTCTTGCCCTTTGCTCTTTTGCCACGTGGATTGAGCCTTGAAAAAATGCTTTGTTTCTTGTCGACTTGACTAGCGGCGACCGCATTATCCGAGGTGGTCGGAGTGCTTGATTCTGAGGTATCGAGGTCGGCAGTCTGAGGGTGCTCGGCGTTATAGGCCCGACCATCTGCTTTCCAGAAAGTCCCCACAAGAACTATGACCTCAATAAATGCTGCACCCACCATGAGATAGTAAAATTCGTACCACCGCCAGCCCGCTTGGGTAACTAGTGTTGTCGCAATTAGAGGAGCGAGGGCTGCACCAAGACCGTAAAAGCCATGTAAGAAGCCAAGCACTTCGTTTGGATTGGCCATGTCACCAATCCAGGCATTCCTGTAAACATAATCAGCATTCTTGACCCCAGACGATCAGTGACTTTAGCCCACCATCCGCTGTCGCCCAAGCCGTTGCCAAACCCGGCAAGAATAAACACTATTACCAAAACAGGATAAGGCGGATGAACACATATGATAGCTATGGCGCCAGGTTAGTCATGGACGGCATTTAACATGAGCGTACTCACTATAAGCGCACAAATGGGAGGTGCTCATGATCCACGCAACACCTCTTTGTCCATATATTGTATGAATGTAGTTGTTCAAAAGTGCAGACATCGTATAACCCACTATTGGCGACAGAAAGATGAGACTGATAACTGTGTAATTGACCCCGTAGAATGTTTCGAGGTAGGGTATCAAAGCTCCGTATGCACCATCATTGGCACCTAAGATGATAAAGGAATAGAAGGTCCCGAGACAGCGCCACATGTTGATTCTGGGAGAGTTCCATTTCTGTAATTGAGGCGTAGCAGTCGAGGGAGCGGGCAAGGCTCCGGCTGATATGTCCTCGTAGACAGGCGGGCTCTTTCCTGACTCCTCCGGCTGGTGAGATCTCAAGGGCATCTCCAGGACGACCGTGGAGCTTCCACACGACGAGGAATTATTGACCTGCATTCTGCCGGGTTTCGTATGTCTTGGGGGACTTTCCGAAGAGGATCGAATGGTTTGACGCTCAGCTAGATGTGCCTGAAACACGAAGCTGGGGATTCCGGGACATTTAATGTGACTGAGACATAAGATTTCGATCACAGTCTTCTACTATCTTCAGCGTCCCAAAGAAATATGCGGCAAGGAAAACATCCTTTTCATAGAGAAGAAAACAAGTCTAAGTAGATAGATGATCTCACTTGTCCGAGGATCACCCGAAGGCGGCGCGGCGGCTCGCAGGCCCTGAGGAGATGGCGGGCCGATCTTTGCGAAAGGCATATTGGGCTGAATCAGGAACATGACCTGCTGTACTCGGAATTGCTCAATGGGACGTCGCTGAATTGTTCGGTCGAATTATTCATGTCATCCACTTTGCAGGCGTCACCCAGGCGTAGCACTGGCTGGTGGCTGTGAGGAGTGGAGTGATTCCACCACCGCAGGCTATTTGGATACTTGTCATTCTTGGCATTATTACGTCGAAGCAGAAAAGCGGCCATTAGTCAATTACAGCTTGTGTCCTCATGATCCGCCGTTTGTAGCGCGGCGCTGTGGCTTGGCCCCTCACGTGCCATTTAACAGACGCGTTCGTCCACACGCGTGACGCGTTGATGCCGCTCCTGCCTCTCTCACCAATTCCACTCACCTCTTTCTTCACTAACGCCAACTTCTCAACGTGACCATCGACTCATAAGGTGATTTTTACTGTAAGCACCCTTGGTAGATTTCCGTCTACCTTCATGCCGACTCGAGAGAGTTCAACCTCAGTTCTTCCTCCTTTTCCCTACTGAACCTCGAGATCCTATCGCGAAGGTGAGCCGATTGTGAAATGGTAGCCGAAATTTCATGCCACGCCTAGTCTTGTCTTGGTCTCGTCTCACCTGACATGTATGCACTCGAATCTTTCAGCAGAAACGATATCAATTCTAAACGAGTTGAGGCAACCTCTCCCAAACATAAACTTACAAGCACTGAGAAATCCCTCAACACCACCTCACTAATCAGCCACCATCCTGGTGAGTTGGTTGTCCTCGGAATTCTGCGTGACGAAGTCACTGGTAAAAGAAAGGCCACTGATGCCCTGGTGCACCATGCACTGAAGAAAGTCTGTGGCTGCGCCCCTCAACACGTAAGCGAACAATTGGGAGGCTTGAAACAGATACAGAGCACTAGTCCAGGAAAACAGCCCTCAGAGGAAACACCGCAATCTACACTTGCCTCGCGAGAAAGCAGCATTAACAGCTGCGCACGATTCTTCTCTGCTATCAAGCTCAGTCCTCGCTCATTAAGTCCCAGAACAGAACGTGCGAATCCGCGGTGGGAATCATCTTCCGGTTTCCAGGACAAAATGATCCCTGCCTACAACGGCCCGGCCGACAGTATGTGTCATCGCAGCGATCTTCAAGACAAGCCTCGTTCCCAGGCTTGCGCAACTGCTCGTTTAACTATGTCTGACCTCTTCGATGACCGCACGCCTGAGCAGCTTGAGAAGTGCGTTGAAAAGGGCCAAGAGTTGCTGGAGAAGATCAAGCAAACCCTGGGAGAAGTCTCTGATCCAGACGTAAGCCGAATGTCTCAAGCAACTAAGAATGTCCAATCCCAAGCTATCCCTGCCAAAACGGTCATCGGTATTGTCGGCGCGACTGGCGCAGGCAAAAGCTCTATCATCAATGCCGTGCTCGACGAAGAACGTTTAGTTCCGACCAGCTGCATGCAAGCTTGTACCGCTGTTGTGACAGAAATCAGCTACAACAACGACGGAGGTGCTCCATATAGAGCTGAGATCGAATTTATCTCAAGGGACGACTGGCGGAAAACGTTGAAAGTTCTCTTCCAAGATCTCCGCGATCAGCCGGGCCAGATCAACATGAACGAAGACTCCGACTCTGCTGTCGCCTATGCTCAAGTGAAGGCAATATATCCATGGCTAACTAAAGAGGAAATTGACGAGGCACCCATCGAAACATTGATGGAGCATGAGAACGTTGCCTATCTAGGCGCTAAGCTCAGCATTGAATCGAGCAATGCTGACACGTTCCAAAAGGAATTGCAACCTTTTGTGGACAGTAAGAAGAAGACTGCTGGACTCAAAGAACGGGCAGAGCATGAGAAGGAGGCGGAGTTTTGGCCCTTGATTCGGGTTGTCAAACTTTATGTCATGGCTCCTGCTCTAGCCACTGGTGCAGTGCTCGTCGATCTCCCAGGAGTTCATGATAGCAACCAGGCTCGCGCAGCAGTCGCTAAAGTAAGTCATCGACCAGCGTACCTCGGCTTTCTTACACTTTTCATACGAGGTTTCGTTGATATTGATGTCATCGCAGGAATACATGAAACAGTGTACCGGACTCTTGATTGTTGCACCCATCACAAGAGCAGTTAACGATAAATCTGCAAAGACCCTACTAGGCAACTCTTTCAAACGTCAATTGAAGATGGATGGAGGGCTCAATTCAGTTACTTTTGTCTGCAGTAGGTCCGACGAGATCTCGGTCACTGAGGCTCAGGATTCTCTTGATCTGGCGGAAGAGCAGGCTACCATGTTGGCAGAAGAAGGAGATTTATCAAAGCAGAAGGATGTATCCACAGAGCAGATCACAGATCTTGAACGCCGAAAGGATGAAGTTGATGCTGCTCTAGATTCCGCGGATGATGAACTTGAAGTCTGGGGAACGCTGCGAGACGACGCAAGTGTCACCAGGCCCCCGAGAGAATTTCTGAAGCGAAAATTCTCAGAAATGATCAGCCACAAGGTGAATTGGTCAAAATTCACCGAGCCTGGTCCTGACGGTGACCTTTCCCCTAGCAGCGAGGAGTGTGCCGGCGATATCGGGTCAGAAGACACATCATCAAACCCCAGTGACGGTCATATGCAGCCACTTACAGACCACGATATATCAACCAAGATCGCCGAGATCACAAGAACCAAAAAAGAATTGCGCAGCGAGAAGCGCAAGATTGATAAGGAGATTCAAACACTGAAGGCTCAAATTGGAGAATTCGACTCACAGCAGGAGAGCATTTCCGCAGAGATTCTCGCACAGTGTATCAAAGGTCGGAACGAGTATGCACGACGTGTAATTGCTCGTGATTATGCTGCTGGTATCCGTGAACTAGATCAAGAGCTGGCCGACGAAGATGATCCAGAGAATTTCGACCCCAGCATGGATGCCCGCGATTACGACGAAGTGGCTCGCAATTTACCCGTCTTCTGCGTATCTTCTCGTGCGTATCAGAAGTTGATGGGCAGATTTCAAAGGGACAAAGCTCCTCCAGGGTTTCAGCACATAGAGGAGACGGAAGTTCCGGCCCTGCAAGCTCACTGCGTGCACCTGACAGCTACTGCGCGTCAAGCATCCTCTCGCAAGTTTCTTACCAGCTTGTTTCAATTGCTCAACTCTCTCCGTCTATGGGTTGCGCATGGCAATGTTGCAAATACGCTTGCGGCGATGCGGTTAGACCAAGAAGCCCAAATTCTTGAAGAGAGGCTCAACAGCCTTGATTCGGTAAGTTTTCTGCGTAACCAGTAATCAGCGCCTTTGTGCGCATGGAGATTATTCTTACTGACCGTCGCTAGGCCCTGGAAGATGCATGTGGCACAAGTGTTGATGAATTTTCTGACCAGCTTCAATGCAAAGTCTTTGAAGCGTACGCCAGCGCGACAGCGGCAGCGCAAAATAAAGCAGCCGAAATTGCTCGCAAATGGGGATCGCCTGTCAATCAGGAGAATCCAGCCGCAGGAGGTCTTCACTGGTCGACGTATAGAGCCGTGGTTCGCCGCGATGGATGCTTTACGAACCACCGAGGCTGTCACAACTTCAACGAGCAGTTAATCGAACCACTGATTCGACAACTCGCCAGACCTTGGGAATATGTTTTCAGTCGCAGCCTGCCCATCATCTTCAGGCAACTCCCGCTGATCGTAGCTAACAGGATTACCGTTTTCCACGAAGATGTTGAGGGCCACGCTATCCGCAACGGTGTCTCTGCGCTCATTTTCGAGCTGCTCAAGCAACAGATACCCGTGTATAAAGAAAAGATGAATGTCATAATCAAGGATGCGAATAGTTGGGTAACCCAGCAACAACGCACCTTCAATCGGGAGTTTGAACCCCTGATGTCTAACCGTATGCAAGAAGTTTACAACGCTTGCGCCCGTGAGGAAGGCAGAGGGTGCTTCAAACGGATGAGGGACGCAATGGAGCGGTACGTGGAGGACAAGAAGATGGTCATGTTTGATGATGTCGCCAACGACGTCCGCAAACTAATCACGCAGATGCTGAAGGAGCTGAAAGATACTTTAGTCGGCAGTCTCAAAGGCATTTCTGAAGACATCCGGAGAGAGTATACTAATGTGGTGATACGTCAAGAGATCGGACCTGAAGAGCGGCAAGCGATGCGAGACAAGGTTCTTGACATTGTCGACGGTGCCGAACTTGTTTTCGAGCAAGCCCTTGGTCTCAAAGAGGAGTCGACGCTCGAGGCTGGATTGCCGATTCAATGCCAACCAGAAATCGCCGATATGACCCCCGTGGTGAGAGAGGAGCCGGGATGGGAAATCTCACGAGCAACGCCGAAGATGGACTCGGTAGAGCCTGTACACGGGAAACCCGAACATTACATGGAGCTGGCTAATGCGTGAAGCGTCGGAGGATATCGCAGCCTAGAGGTTGAGTTTTGCGACTGGAAGCGGTGACATATATCCCGGCCAATCGACTCTTTTCCTAAGACCAGGATAGGGGGTTGACGGAATGCCGCTGTTCAACTACCTCAGTTTCCCTGAGGCAGAGAGAAAGTCAGTGAACTTCTACAATATGCTGCTGATTGCGGGACTCGGGTCGAGGTGAAGTTCGCTGGCCCTTTCTTCGTTTGGGATTGGGACTTGGGACTTGTATCCAGCGAATGGCATACAATTGTCGAATACGACCTCAAAAAGGAGGGGCGGCTGTTGGGGCTTGCAGTGCTACTGCTGC